GTTGCTACGCCGACTATGCAAGCATTTCATCATGAGACCGATGATCTTTTGGTTTTTCGCCATTGTTGTTCCGGTATTCCTGCTGGCGAATGCGAGGCGTTGGCAACGGCGTCGATCGAGAACAATTTCTTCTTGTTCGTTGTCCAAGTGCAACAGTAGCAAGTAAGCGCCGTAGAGGCCCTCTACAGAGGGTGCTCTCGTGTATCAGAGAGCTGGACGCAATAAAAGTGAGCGTAGTGATGTTCTGCTCGTAAATGAATGTTGTTCAGGTGCGGACCGACTCGCCTGGCGCTGCACCGCCCTTGACAGATTTCCATCAAGGCACTGTCTTCAACGTCTTCAACTTGGTCGCTCGGGGTCGCCATCAATCAAGCCTACCAGCTACGCTGGCCTGTTAGCACCACCGCAACGTGAACGTCGAAATCGATAGACAATTTAAGAGGAAATCCTTGTGAATGCCACTTCCACTAATGGCAAACCGTTGCATCATTTGCATCATCAACCGCTGTTCCCCATTTCACCCGTTTACATTATGCGTGGCGGTCGAACTTGTTGTCGAAGGCCATGCTTTGTGCTGCTAGTCCTGCTCCAGCTTGGTTGCGGCTGCAACACAAGATCGTGTATTCTCTGGATACTATCCTTGTACGCAGGCAGCGGATCCCAGGTGATTTCGTTCCGAGACCTTCGAGGTCTCTTGTCTGACGTGTCGGAGGAAATACCGCCTCGATGTGACTACAGCCGTCGTCAGTGGACCAGTGCTCCTCTTGACCGGGATGGGGACTCGCGCCCTCCACTGACTCTACATGTTCAGCATTATAGTGCCACCAACGCACTTTGCCGACTTGCTGGTCATGCTTGGTTCTCACTTGCAAATTTGGCGCCTTGCACAACTCCATCTTCGCTCCCCATGGCGACTCACACCCCGGGTACGCACAACAACACCGCCTTCGAGCAGTTTGAGAAAGGATCGCCCAGTTTGTTCCCCAAGCTCGAAGAAACCGAGCCAAAGCGAAGACTATGCTGCAGCCCGAAGGTCTGGGCTATTGTGCTCATGGTCGTGGGCACTCTTACCGCCATTATCGGCATCTTGTATGGCATTGCCATGCCAGCGTACGTCAACTCGGTCGTGGACGACCAGGTTGTGCGCTGTTCAGACGACGAAGTGTCCAAGGCGAGTTACTTGGACCCGTACGGAGACTGCGACGACTGCTCACCCTACTACGTCTCCGTGTACATGCTCAACGCCACCAACGCCGAAGAATATCTCGCTAACAACGCAAAGCTGCAAGTCCAGGAAATGGGGCCGTACGTGTACCGCCGTCGAGAGATCAAGCTGGACGTGTCCCTGTCGGACGACGCCTCCATCGTCACCTACAAGACGTACACGTACCACACGTACATGGCCGAGAGGAGTTGTGATGGCTGTTCCGACTCGGACGAGATTGTGAGCTTCGACACCGGGTACTTCAGTGTTATCGCTGCCACGGGTGGCGAGTTCAACCTGCTGGCGGCGGTCGCTGAGGCCTCCTTCGCCTCCACTCAAAATATGACCGATATCATCGCCACCATCACGGAACATGGCGAGCAAATGATGCGCTGGATGAACGGCCTCAACTCGCTGGACCCGGTGGCAATGAAGACGGTGACCAACAACAGTGCCGTGCTGACCTTCCTAGCTACCGGCCCAGCAGCCATCGCCGACCTGGACCTCTCCGGTTTTGCGTACAACGGCATCTTCGTCAAGCGCACGGCGTCACAGTGGGCACTGGGTTACCCGAGTCTGCTTGCCGGTCTTATCCTCGGCTCCAACTACATCAACACGTGCAAGACCAGCATGAACGCCCAGTGCGCGTCCTGCAGCGGCAACGACTGTCTGGCCATTGCACCGGCCTGTTCTCAGTGCACCAAGGGTGCAGCTATCGTGGCGGTCAACAACGTCACCTGTGCCATCGTCGAGTCCATTTACGCCGCCGAGTACGGCGCTGAGGAAGCTGCCAGTTTTGCGGGAACCACCTGCAACCTGTGTGAGAGCGTGGGTCTGTGTGTTGCACCTCTCCCCGGCATCGCCGAGAGCTCTGGCTTGGACTACTCCGAGACTGCACCTGATGCGTCATCACTTAGTGCGTACGTGAAGCGGACGGGCTGTGACGATCTGAACAAAATCGGAGCGTGGGTGCAATACGACGGCCTTACCGTCGCGCCTGTGTGGGTGAATCTCGGCGAGCGCCGCAACCCGACGCTGGCCGAGATCAATGCGTTTTCAAGCTACGCTAACTGCGACTCGCCTGTCGCCAACGTCACGTGCTTCAACGTGTCCGGTACGGACGGCACGGCGCTCAAACCTGGTGGCGTGACGATCAACGGCATGGCCAAACACACCACCGCCGATTCATTTAACTCGTACCTGGGTGCCGCCGAGATCTCAATCAATATCGCGAGCATGGACACCGAGGTGGATTTTGACGGTGTCTCGCTGCACCGCTTTGGTACGCCGATCGATGTCTTCGCTTACACGGACGACAACGCAAAAATCGGTTCGGGCGTTCCCGTGAACGGTCTACATCAGCTGAGCTTCGTGACTGGTTTCTTGTCGTACATGTCCGGTCCGTTCTTCATCTACGGCGATACGGCGCTGCTCGAGGCTGTGGAGATGACTAACTCCGATGGCACAGCGATGAC